TGCACTGAATTATGTATATTGCTTTTGGTAGTGCAGCTGTGTCCACAATATTAATTTCCAATTTCTTCAGTGTGGTAGTTTTAATTGTGGAGGTCTTCCATCCCCTTGGTTAGGTTTATGCCCAAGGATTTTTTTTGGGGGGGAGGGGGTTGTGAATGGGATTTACTTCTTATTTTTCAGAAAGTTTGTAATTAGTAATACGATATTTTATAGTAGTACTATATGTATTAGAAATGCTATATTTTTACATGTTGATTTTATATTTTGGTACTTTTCAGAAAGGGCTTATCAGATCATTTATCACACTTAAAGAGTTCTCTGGTGTCATCGTTACAGGTTTTAAAGTATAAAATCGTATCATCTAAAAATAGAGATAAATTTGACTTCTTCCTTTCCTCTGTATATCTATTATTTCTTTTTCTTGCCTTAGGGCCCTTGTTAAAAGTTCAAACACTACAATGAATAAGAGCAAAGAGAGTAGGCATTGTATCATTCCTGAGTTTAGAGGAAATGCTTTCAGTCTTTCCTCATTTAGTATAATGTTGGCTATAGGTTTGTTATATATAGATGATATTATGTTGAGATATGTTCCTTTCACTCCTACTTTCTGTAGGGATTTTATCACTAAGGGATGCTGAACTTTGTCAAAGGCCTTTTGTATATCTTTTGAAATGATTAAATGATTTTTGTCCCTGAGTCTATTTGTGAGCTCTATCACATTTCCTGGTTTATGTAAGTTGAACTATCCTTGCATGTGTTTGGAATGAAATAAAATTGATCATTACTTTTTGTAATGTGTTGCTGATTTTGGTTTGCAAGAATTTTATTGAGAATATTGCATGCATGTTCATCCAGGAAATTAGCTTATGGTTTTTTGTTTCCTTACTTGGTTTTAGTATCAGAGTAATAATACAGGCTTTATAAACTGAGCTTGGTGGTATTTTTTCCTTTTTTGCTTTATGGAATAGTCTGAGGAGCATAATGTTAGCTTTTCTCTAATAACTGACAGAATTCTGAAATGAATCTGTGTCATAGAGGCTGAGTTTTTCATTTTTAACCTCATTGTTCATTATAGAGCTGTTTAAGTTGTTTATAGCCTCTTGGTTTAAATTTGGAAGATAATATGTGTCTAGGAATTCATAAATTTCTCCTAGATTTCCTAGATTTTTGGAATATAGGGTGTCAAAATATTTCCCAATTTTCTCCTGGATTTCATTGATATCTGTTGTAATGGTTCTCTTTCATTTCTAATTTTATTAATTTGAGTCTTCTTCTTTTTGTTAGTTTGGCTAAAAGTTGGTTCATCTCACTTGTCTTTTCAAAGCACCAATTCAGTTTCATTGTTTTGTTTTGTTTAAAAAATATTGTTCTTTTAGGTTCCATTTCATTAATTTTTGTCCTGATACTTATTTCCTGTGGTCTACTGATTTGAGATTTGGCTTGCTCTTATTTTCTAAGATCCTGACATGCATCATTAAGGTACTTGTGATCTCTGTGGTTTTTTAATGTAAGCTCTCATAGTTATGATCATTCCTCTTAGAACTGCCTTTCCTGTTGCCCAATGGTTCTGATAAGTTGTGGTTTTACTTTTCTTTCATTTCATTCTGATTTCTTCAATGATAATTCAAGAGTGCACTGTCCAGTCTCCATGTGTATGGTTTTTACAGCTTGTGTTGTTATTGATTTCTAGTTTTATTCTACTATAATCTGCTAAGATATAAAAAAGTATCTCGCCGGGTGTGGTGGAGCACGCCTTTAATCCCAGCACTTGGGAGGCAGAGGCAGGTGGATCTTTGTGAGTTATAGGCCAGCCTGGTCTGCATAGTGAGTTCCAGGACAGCTGGAAGGAGACCCTGTCTCAAAAAGACAAAAAAAAAAAAGAAAAGAAAAAAGTATCTCAATTTTTTTTATTCAGTAAAAATTGTATTATAGATAAAGTTTTCACTATTTTGGAGAAAATTCCATTGGCTGCTGAAAAGAATGTGTATACTGCAGATGTTGGATAGAGTGTTTTTGATGTTTGTTAAGTCCATTTGATTAATTCTGAAGTTCATATGTTGACTTTTTTGTCTGGATGATCCACCTATTGCCACCTACTGGTGAGAGATGGGTATTGATGTCACCTACTATTATTGTATCTGGATCTATTTGTCCATTTGTGTCCAGTAATGGTTGTCTTATGAAACTGGTTGCACTGATGTGCTATGCATATATGCATATATACTAATAATTGTTATATCACCCTGATGGAGTGTTCCCTTTAGTAATATGTCTTTGTCTCTTCTGACTAATTTTGGCTCAATGCCTCCTGTATCAGATAAAAGTACAGATATTCCTGCTTATTTTGGGCTTCCATTTGCTTGGCGTATGGCTACTGACCAAAAAGCCGGTGCTAGGGAAGGATGAGAAAATGGCAGAATCTTGCCTACTAGGGATTGGAAGATGGTTCATCAGTAAAGTTCTTCCTGATTTCATGAGAACCTGAACTCAATGCCCAACACATAAAAAATGGAGTATGGTGGCCTGTGTTCATGATCCCAGCACTAGGGAGGCAATGACAGGCAGGTCCCCAGGGCTTGCTGACGGAAGCAGCAGCCTAGCCGTAGCAGCAAGCTCTGGGTCCCAGTGACAGAGCCTTTTTCAAAAAAAAACAAGGTAGACAGTTCCTGAGAAATGACACTTGAGGTTTCCCTGTACATGCATGCGCTTACACACCCACCCACGTTCATGCAAGCACACATGTGTACACACACACATGAAGAATGTGGAAGGACAATTATAAGGCACAGAAGTCTTTCTAGAGATAATCCATCGTGAAAGCTGACTCTGATGCCTGAACACATCACCTTCTTACAAACTCAAAGATTCATAAACATGTATTACTGTTACTTCAGAGCATTGTTTCAATTAATGAATTCAGATAAATTTGTACAGGATAAGAAGTGTTAAAGCCTCTGTGACATGGGTCCTTGCCTTATACACACACCAAAATGATTATGATGATGATGGTGGTGATGGTGCTGGTGGTGGTGGTTTATAATCAGGTCTACATGTAGCCATACTTCCTGTTGGGGTGAGAAGCTGAGTTTATGCTCCATTTCTCTGTCTTTCTTTGTCATGAAGGAGTGAAAATTCCAGCCTCCCTGTCTCACAGGTTAATGCGAGAGACTCTTGGGTGTTCATATTTAGCTTAGGTGAATTTTCTTTTCCTCCCTCAATTTCTGCTGTTACTCTAATTCTTGTGTTCCAAACTTGCAGAATTTCCACTCTGTACAAACTCTACTTCCCGTTTCTGTCCTCCAAACTGCTCACCATCTCTATTGTTTTCATTCTTTTTCTTCTCAGTTCTGAAATAATTTCTGTTTTATCTTCTGCCTTGTTTTCTGGTCTTGCTTCTCTTCCCCACCCTCATTGTGATTTCATGGTTTGGCTTCTAATTTCCAACACCTTCCTGGAGCTTAAGGACTAAGTCAGGACATTTGTAGCTTTCTTTTGTTCATGGTTTTCACCTGCTCTTCCTTTGATGAGTAAGTAGGTTTGTTTTTTGTTTCTTGTTTTTTCTCACTGACCAGGTAGACAAGGCTGGCTGGCCAGTGAGCCAGTGGTAAATCCACTGCCTCTGCCTCCCCAGTGCTGGGATTTAAAGCCTATGCTATTATGCCTGGCTTTTTATGTGGTTTCTGGGAATCAAACCCAGGTCTTCATGTTTGCATGGTGAGCACTTTCCTGACTGAGCTAGCTCCTCAGCTCCCTTCCACAATCTTCTAAGTAATTCCATTACTTTACTTAGGGTTTGTATGAGAAAATGTCCTTTTCTTGGAAATCATTCTTTCAGCAGATGTCAGAATTGTACGTGTGTGACTTTGCTTATTGTGAGTTTATGATCACAGCCTCCATTTCACAATGCAGTTTCAGCATGACCATTTACTGACAGAAAACCAAAATCCCACCAGGGATCAGTGCCCATCACACCCAGTGGACTTTGAGCTCAAGACCTGGCCTTCTCTACAGCTGCCTACTCTGCCTGCCATGAGCAAATGCTACTTCTGGGGGCTGACCACTCCTCACCCTTACTGGCCTTGACCAACAGCCTGAGCCCCCACCTCCACTGCCATGCTTGGCACAGGGAAATGCTTTGCTTTCTCAAGTGCTGTTCTTTTCAACTCTGCTGAGGGCTTTATCTTGATTAACCTGTCTTACAAACCTGCCTCCCCTGCAACTGGCTGAATGTTTTTAGATTGGCAGGCTGCCATGTGACATAACATGCACCTGCTCAGGGCTGGAGACTCCACATCTATCCTTCTGCCAGGAGCCTGGAAGCATCTCTTAGCACCCCCTAGACCCTCTGGATGGGGCTAAGGAAGAGGGTGCCTGTGCTGGAAGAGGGCTGGCTTGGATCTTTGGGGCTCTCTGCCCTTCTGGCATGACTCAGCCCTTTTGTGGGTAAGTATCTATTGTTCGCTGTAGTTTTGGGACAGGGACCCAGAGGCCTCCGTAAAGCTCAAGGAAGAAAGGGAGGCACCCAAGTTCCACGACTAGATTTGAGACAGCAAACTATGTGTTTCCTCTACAAGTCTGTACATAAGACTACTCATCAATCACATGGCATGGAACCCTCCCTTCCTCTGAAGCTTAGAAAAAGGGGCCCCCACGTCTGCCTTGTGGGCCCAAACTCTCTCCAGAGCCCCACCATGCTGTCTTTCCCTGGTGTTAATAACCTAATTAATCTCTTATCCATAAATACAGTCCATCTCAGTGTTCCCTTTGAGCCCCAAACCTGAGACTTTTCACAGCCAGGTCTGGGGATATCATCACAGCATCTGACCACACCCCTTCTCTGGGTACCAGGTTGTCTTTCATAACTGAAGAGATGAGACAACTATCAATCTCTTTCACCTTTGAACTGCTTCTGATTGACAAGCAGACATAGTTATCACAACACTCACTCCTGTCCTTGACAGCATACCAGGTATATAACAAGAAAGAGGAACAGAGCTCACCAGTATCAGGCATGGGCTCTGGACAGCCTGTGTAGTTCAGTCCCACTGGGGCACTCTGGGAGAGCAGGTGGCTTCTTCTAGGGAGGTGCAGAGACTCTGGAGAGGTGACTATTGTCTTCCTCCAGCCCTGGGGTAGAAGGAAAGAGGCGGGAGGTGGATGAAGAAACAGGCAACAGGCCGTTATTGAGAATTCCTAACTTCTCCAGTTGTTCAGGCTCCTTCCTGAGTAGAGTCCATGGCCAAAATGCACTACACTCTAGGAGGTATGGATATATGGAAACCCATAAGGTAGGAAAGTCCTGGATTCTGCAGTGTGCAGTGTGTGCAAATGGGTCTGTATCCCTGTGGGGCAAGCTGCCGTCAGCAATGGGGCTTGTCAGCCAGACAGCCCAATATTCCCTCCAAAGCAAAACTGCTAATTTTACCTAAAGCATATTGTTTAGGGGTTAGTTAATTGAAATGCAACTCATGGGATAGGGAGATGGCTCAGTGGATAAGAGCACTTGCACAAGCATGAGAATCTGAGTTTGAATCCCCATCACCCATGTAAAAAGCTCAATGTAGACAACGTGCCTGTAATCCCAGCACTATGGCAAATGGAGACAGGAGGATCACTGGGGCTTACTGGCTGCCAGTCTAGCACAATACTGTGAGAGACCCTATCTCATGGGAGTAAGATAGTGATACAGCAGGACACCAAACTTCCTCTTATGACCTCTGAATTTGGATACACATGTACGCATACACCACACATGCATATTGCACACATTCATAAATAAATATTAAATACAAATAAAATGCAACTCACAAAAGCCTTGGCACATCACAATGATGAAACAGACAGTATCCTTCAGACATTAAGGGCCAGTATTACAAGGGGTCTTGGGAAAGGAAGGGATATTTTTTTCTTTACTCTCATTGTCTGGAAATAAACTTGCTGGGTAATTTCAGTTGTCAACTTGAGATGCCTGGGAAGAGGGAACCTCAACTGGGGAATTTCCTCCATTAGATTTGCCTGTGGCCATGTCTATGAGGCATTTTCTTGATTGTTGAGTGATATGGGAAGGCCCAGCCCTATGTGGGTGGTACCTTCCTGAGCAGGTGGTCCCAAAGTTGTGCAAAAAAACAGGCTGAGCACAGGCCAGAGGAGCAAGCCAGTAAGCAGCGTTCCTCTACGGCCTGTGCTTCAGCTCCTGCCTCCAGGTTCCTGTCTTGAGTTCCTGCCCTGACTTCCCTCCATGATGAATTGTAAACTGTAAGATGAAATAAACCCTTTTTCCCCAAGTTGCTTTTGGTGGCTATTTTCACAGCAACAGAAAGTAACTCGAACAGTATAGATTCAAATAAATGCTTTTGCCCTTCGTCTTTGATTTTGGTATTCCTCACAATATTAAGTGATTAAGGATTAAGACAGAGTAGCTACTCTATCATACGTTTTTCCATTTGAATGTACCTGAAAACCTTTGGGAAAATAGCTGAGTTACCTGAGGACTCTGGAAATAAATAGAAGCTAGTCACGGAAGAGAACCAGACTGAAGGTTGCCCCTCTTGTAGTGAGTCTCCTGTACTCTTAATTGCCTGAACGCAGCAGCAGTTTGAAGTTAGGCATGAAAAAAATAGCATCCAAAAAAACCTACTCAAGCCAGGCCTGATGGTACAGGCCCGTAATCTCAGTTCCTTGGCAGCAGGGTATCACAAGTTCAAGACCTGCCTGGGCTACAGTCAACTCAAGGCCAGCCATTGCAATTTAGTGAGACTATATTAAAAAAAAAGTGTCTGTGGAGTGTGTGTGTGTGTGTGTGTGTGTGTGTGTGCACAGAAGCCAGAGGAGGACAACCTGCTCTATTGCTCTCCACCTTCTTACCTTAAGACAGTCTTCCAGTGAATCTGGAGCTAGGCTGGCAGCCAGAAAGCCCCAGCTGTCCTCCTGTCTCTGCCTCCCACAGTCCTGGGGTTACAGGTGCATGTGTGGCCATGCTTCGCTTGTTATGAGGGTGCTAGAGATCTGAACTCAGGTCCTTCTGCTTGTGCATTAAGCACTCTTACCATTGACACACCTCTTCAGCCCCCCCCCATGAAAAGAATATTTAACTTTTGTTTTATTTAGAGATGTAGTTCCTAGGGGCCTGGAATTCAAATGTAGACCAGGCTTGCCTCAAACTCAAGAGATCTACCTGCCTCTGCCTCCTAACTGCTGGGATTAAAGGCATGGCCCACCATGCCCAGCTTTATTTTTGTTTTTCTAGTTATGTGTATATGTGTGCATCTGAGTGTAGATTTGTGAACCTAAATGCAGTGCCCAGGGAAGTCAGAAGAGGATGTCAGATCCCCTGGAGCTGGAGTTACAGGTGGTTGTGAGCTACCTGATGTGGGTGCTGGGAACAAAACGCAGGTCCTCTGCAAAAGGAGTACATTCTCTTAACAACTGAGCGAATTCTTCAGCCCATCACCCCTTGTTTAAGTATAAAAGAAGGCTCAGTATGGCTCAGTGTTAGAGGGCTTGTCTAGCATGTATGTGGTTTAGGTTTAATCCCTAGTACAGCAAACAAAGCAAAACAAAACCAAGTGGGAAAGCTCCCATAGCATGTGAGGGAACGTGGGAAATCCTGTGTGTTTTGTTCTTTTCTCTCACTAGAAGCCCCAAAGGAAATCCCATTATAATACAGCAGTAGAGGCCAGGCACATACCTAAAACCTTAAGGGAGAGGATTCTTCTCTGACTAGAGGATCTGTCCCTATGGGACAGACTCTCTGTTTCTTTTTTTGCCCTCCTGCCACTTGGCGTGTCAGGGAGACACAGGTGCAGCAAGTGGCAGACTGGGAAACAAAGGCCCCAGACTGCTAATGAGAAGGTGGCTTCTGAAAGCCAGGAAGTGTTTGGAGGAGCACAGAGAAAAAGAAGCTCAAGAAAGTGATCCCACAGTGTCCACAGAACTCCTGGGCTCACCCCCAAACTGTGTACAAGTGAATCTGACTGGAAATAGCAGAATATTTATTTCACAGAGGAATACGCCACAGTTGCTAGACTGGGCCCAGTGATCAGGATCATCTAAATGCCACTGCAGACACCCGGAAACCCAATCTGACATACGCAACAGCCATTTAAGGCCAATGAGACTATGTGGTCTGAATTTAACTGGGTCAGTTTCTAGAATAAGATCTAGAGTCCCCTACATAACATTTGTGATGCTTAACATTGATTGTCAACTTGACAGGATCTAGAACCACCTTGGAGACAAATTTCTGGCCATGTCAGTGAAGGATTTCTAGATTAGGTTCATTGAGGTGGGAAGACCCATCCTAACTGGGCAGCAGCCCCCTATGGTCTGGGGTCCTGTTCTGAATAAGAAGGAGAAAGGGAGCTGACTCATCTCTGCTTCCTGACTATGGGCCTAATGAGCCCCACCACCTCAGACTCCTGCTGCCTTGCCTTCCCCACCATGATGGACTTCTCAAACTCTAGGCTGAAATAAACTCTTCTCCCTTAAGTTGCTTTTGTCGAGTATTTGGTCACAGCAATGAGAAAACTGACTACTACAGAATCCAAAGCTAATTACCATTCAAAAAGCTCTGAAAATCTGAATAACCTGCAAAGGAAAAGACTAATGGGCACGCACTAGCACCAGGACGACACAGCTGCCAGAACTATCAAAGACTAAAGCAGCTCACATGTAACCATGCTTTCAGTAGGGAAGTACACACACAAAAAGAATTAAGTGGATTAAAACTGAAAACATAATGAGTAAAAAATGGTCACTGGCAGCGTTAAATTGTAAAATGGGATGAGGAATCAATAACTCTGAGACAGCACTACAGGGCAGGAAGCACACTTGTCACTGCCCAGCCCACCGCTCCTTGCAGTGCACTCAATATATCTGCTTTCTTCCAGGAAAAAATGCAGTAGAAATTACCCATCCTGGGCTGGTGAGATGACTCAGTGAATAAAGGTGCTTGCTACCAAGTCTAATGACCTGAGTTTGATTCTTGGGACCCACATGGTGGAAAGAGAGAACCAACTCCCACAAGCTGTCCTCTTACCTCTCCATATGCATGCTGCCCTTTCCCTCCTTAAATAAATAAACAAATAATAAATATAATTTTAAATTTTATTTATTTATTAATTGTATGTGTATGAGTGTTTTCCTGCATGAATGTAAGTGAGGGTGTGGAGGGTTCAATGTAATCAAAGAAATGAACACAGAACCTCCCTTCGACCTACAGCCCCCAGCAAAGTGTTTTCCCTGGCAGCAACCTGAGCTCTGACTGGATGCCCATGCCCTGCCTACACGATAGAACAGTCCAGTGGGTGAGGAAGAGGGGAAAGGGAGGCCACTTGTTTGTAAATCAGCACCACTACCTCCTTCTGCCTCAGAGCTGGGTGAGTATGCCCGTCTCAGTCTTCCTTCCCTAAACCCTTTCTTCAGCTTCTGCCTAGTGAATCACATGCTAAGAACCTGCTGCTCCACTGAACAGAGACACTAAGCCCTTGGGGCCAGCTCAGTTCAGCTCCCTTCTTCCTCCATCCCTAACAATATGCCTAGCACCTAGTTACACCTGGAGCATGAGTCCTCACATGGGCACAACCGAGCATGTTTCCTCGGACCTGTCAACTCTGCTGCCAGAACATTTTAGCCGCTAGAGTCCAGCTGTAAGAACAGGAAAGTGGGCAGAGTCAGGAAACCTAGCTTCTTGAGGGTTTTTTATATCTTTTTTTCCTTAACCCTCAAGGAGGCTATGATACCTATAAGATTCTGCTGCCTGAATTTATAGCTCTCAAACCACAAACTTTCTCCCGATGTAGCATCCCCTTCTGCTTCCCAGTTTTACAGGGTAGAGGCTCAAGCATGGGCCTACCTCATTTTTGGTTTTATGAAGAACAGCACTATATGATTTGAGAGTCAGAATTATCTTATACATGCTTCATTCTGTTTTACAAATGAGGAAACAGAAATCCAGAGAGGTGAAAGACCAAGGTCAGTACATAGTACTGCTAAGACTGAGTACAACCCAGATATTTCGACTCCAAAAGCAATGCTCTTTTCACTGTTTCACAATACCTTCAAAAGCTACATGCTGGAAGAGAACAGGCACCCATTTTTCATGAATAACGTTCATCAAGTTTTATATCCCTTGAAGATCAGGGCAAATTGTAAGAGGCACTCAGCAAAGGAGGTTTCGTGGACACCGCAGCTTTAGGCAAGCAAATCACCTCTTTTTTCTGAGATTTCTTTAAACCTGCCATGATTAAAACATAAGGTGGTCTAAAAGACACACTTGGAATCACAGAAAGCCGGTCCCATTCACTCTGCCTTTCCCAGCATGTCAGCTTAGCCTTGGGGACTACCATAGTAGTCCAAAGTTTTAGCCTAATCAATTTGGGGATGCGCTCTTCCAAAAGGGAGAAATTGACATTCAATTTCTGTATCTTGGTCACTGTGAATAGTGTTCCAGTGAACATGGGCATGCAAAAATCTCCTTAATGCCCTGATTTCAAGTCTTTGGGGGTAAATACTAAGAAGTGGGGTTTGGGACTCATTGGTTACTTCTATTTTTAGCTTTTTGAGGAACCTCCATCCAGTCGTCAGTGATGGCTGGACTGATGCACATTTTACTAACAGGGTAGAAGGGTTTTCTCTCCTTCCCAGCCTCATGAGCACCTGGTATCTTTCAACAGCAATGAAACAAAACAGAAAGTAAGTGCTGGTGAGGAGAATGCTGAGAGCCTGCAGCCCCCACTGCTGCTGGACAGACAGTGCAGTGTGGCAAGGGGCACACGGGAAGCTTCTCCAAAAGTTAATCACAGAGTTACTGATGGCCCAGGGACTCTAAGTCTACACCCTAAGGAACAGAAAACTCATATTCAAAAAAAATTTTATATACTGTTCTTGGAAACAGTATTAATAGTGGTCGAAAATTGGAACCAGTTTACATATCTATCAATAAATGAAGAAACAAGTGAAACAAATGTCCACACATACCAGAATATTCAGCCTACACAGGAGTGAAGTCCTGACAGGTGCTAAGACATGGACGAACCTCCGAGGCATCACACTATGAAAGAACCAGGCACAAACAGCCGCAATCCATGATTCCATTTCCACAAAATACCCAACATGGGTAAATCCACAGGAAACGGATGCAGACTGGTGCATCCCAGAGCCAGGGGATGAGCAGTGGGCAGTGACTGTTCAGCAAATGGGGCTTTCCTTGTATGATAATGAAAACATCTTGGAAAAAGGTGTGAGATTTTTAGGAAAATGGCTGCATCTGGAGGATATAGTCAGTAGAGTAACCCAGACTTAGAAAGACAAATACCACATGTTCTCTCTCATATACAGAGCCTAGTTTCTAATTTATATACTTCTTTATTTATGTGGGAATAAGTGTGAGTAGAGGTCAAGAATCTAGAAAGGGCCCATGAGAGGGAAAATGGGTGTTAAGGAGGCGGTGTGGAGGGTAAGGGAGCTCATGTGACCTGAAAGTGGAAGGGGGCATTCTGAGGCAGAAGGGTACAAATCACCTGTAGAGAGATGGGGGAGAGGAGTGGGAAGGAGGGTCTACCACTAAAAAGTTTTCAGGAGACTGGAATAGCAGGACCTGGTACTTTGCATGCTAATAAAAAAAATGCAAAAATTTTCAAAAGAAATATACCTTGGATTTAGATAGAGGTGATTCTTGCAAAATGCTGTGGATAGAGTAAGTGTGGCTGGATCATTCACTTTAACATGGTTCATTGTCAAATGAATTTCACCTCAATAAAAAACATTATTTGGGAATGAAGTGAGATTCAGAGAAGTGTTCTTCACACATATGTCATAATAACATTGCCATTTTGTCAAAAGAAAGAACAAGAAACCATCATCAAATGGGAAAAAGTATGCTGTAAAGACTGTGAAGTCATTTTAAAAATCACTATTACATTTTATTTCTTTATCTTGTGTGTGTGGGCAACTTGTTGGAATAAGTCCTCTCCTTCTGCCACGTGGAAGTTGGGACATGGACCCAAGTTATTGGGCTTGGTGACAAGAGCTTTTACCTGCTGAGTCATCTCAATGGTCTGTGTGATATCAGTTTTAATAGGCTGCCAATGTCATGAAGGTATCCATGGTTTCAAGTGCTGGCCACTGGTGGGGATGGATCACATGGAAGAATAGGGGCTGCACTGCTGTGCTTTGGAGACTCTGGGGAAGCCCCGTGGTGCAGCATCCCTGCTGCTCTGCTTTAGCTTGGTGTACAATGTCCCTCAAGTGCTTGGATGTTAAAGGCTTTGTCCTCCACTTAGAAAGATGGAAACCTTTAAGAGCTTTGGGGCTTCAGGTAATGGGGGTGTGGGCCGTTGAAGGGAACTGTGGGACCCCAATTGCTTTCTCTCTCTCCCCCCAGCTGTCATGAGGTAGAGGGCCCACTCCCACCATGATGTGCTGTGCTTCCACAAGTCCAAAGTCGCAGGGACCCTGAAACCATGAGACAGAATAAACTCTGCTTCTTTTTTTCTGTGTATGTGTGTGTTTAGGTATGTATGCTTGCATGTTTGTATGAATGCATGTGTGTGCATGCAGCTGCACATATGTGTACATGTGTGTGGAGGCCAGAGAATAACATAGGGTGCCAATAACATAGGAAGCAGTGCTCAGGCACTGTCCACTTTGCTTTTTGAGACAAGGTCTTTTACTGACCTGGAGCTCACTAATTTGGCTAGGCTTCCTAGCCAGCGACCTCACCAGGATCTGGATTATAAATGTACCACCATGTCTGGGTTTCTTCTTCTTCTTCCTCCTCTTCTTCTTCTTCTTCTTCTTCTTCTTCTTCTTCTTCTTCTTCTTCTTCTTCTTCTTCTTCTTCTTCTTCTTCTTCTTCTTCTTCTTCTTCTTCTTCTTCTTCTTCTTCTTCTTCTTCTTCTTCTTCTTCTTCTTCTTCTTCTTCTTCTTCTTCTTCTTCTTCTTCTTCTTCTTCTTCTTCTTCTTCTTCTTCTTCTTCTTCTTCTTCTTCTTCTTCTTCTTCTTCTTCTTCTTCTTCTTCTTCTTCTTCTTCTTCTTCTTCTTCTTCTTCTTCTTCTTCTTCTTCTTCTTCTTCTTCTTCTTCTTCTTCTTCTTCTTTTTCCTTTCCTTTTCTCTTCTTTTCTTTAAAACACGAGTTTGACTCTTGCAGAGAACCCAGGTTCAATTCCCAGCAGCCGCATGGCAACTGACAATCATCTGTAACTCCAGTTCCAGGGCATTCTGATGCCCTTTTGACCTCCATGGGCACCGTACACTGCAGGACAGAGGTGTACTTACATACATGCAGGCAACACACTTATACGCATAAAAAAATTACAAAAAAGCCCCATGAGTTTGGGGGATGGAATTCAGGCCTTTGTGCTTGCAGCAACTGAGATATCTCAAACCTTTCCCCAAACCTTTCCTTTTTATATATTGATTATCTGAGGTATCTGTGACAGTAATGGAAAGCTAACACATGCATGCTCACTGGGTGGAGCCCTGTCAGCTTCTGTGACATAGGGGACCAAGGGTGAACATGTGTCAGTCCAGGACAGAGTCAGGAAATGGCAGGCTTCCAGAGAGGAGGAGGGGATAACAGGTGACATCAGAAGATACCTGTGCTGCAGCCAGCTTACCTGGGCTTGGTTCATGTGCGCCATCCCTGTGCACATCTTCCCTCTAAGCTGTGCCTGTTTCTCCAGCTTCCTCCTCTGAGTCTTCTCTAGCCACAGGTCATCCAAGCTGAAGTGTGAGTGATGAGGGCCCTGCCTGGGCTGTGAAGGGGCCTCTCCAGGGACTTCTGTGCAGATGGTGGGTAGGAGCCATGCCATCATTTCGGTGGTGGGCAGTGGCCTCTGAACAGGCTCTGTGTGAGAAACTTTCTGATTGTGGGAACAACTGAGCTTCTTGTCTGTTAGTTTTTCCCAGGAGATGTGGCTCTGGAGAACAGAGGAGATGCATCAAATAGGGGATGTCATTCTTTCTCCTCCGCATTCCTGCCCCAGATTATTTCAGATATGACAGTGTATCTTGGCTTATCCCCCTAGAGTTACAATAAAATACCTCACAAAAAATTTGAAAAATATGAAGATTAGCCATAAGGTAAATCTTGTTTCTGTTAAAATGTCTACTTCTAAGACCATTTAAAACAAGCCAGACTTCTGATTTGATCAAAGACTGTATATCTTAATTGATGAAGTTAGCATGCTTATTTGAAATACTTGTGTGTGTGTGTGTGCGTGTGCGTGTGTGTGTGTGTGTGCGTGTGCGTGTGTGTATGTGCACCGAACACAGGGACATGCGTGTGTTAGGCAAGCACTCTGCCATTGCTCAACGTCCTATCCCCTGGAGTGTTAAATACTTTGCCAGCTCTAAACTCTTCCTGCCACAGACCCATTTAATGGCCTAATCACAGCTGTGATTTAATGAGTGATACCCTTGTGACATAAAAT